CTCAGGGTCCTCTGTATGAACAGAGGTCCACACAGACTCGACGGTACCCCAGCTCCATCTCCTCATCACCCCAAAAGGACCTGACTCAGGCAAAGGTAGTGGCTTTACGAGTCTCTGGGTGCTGGTTAGGACAATATTGGGCAGAGTCTCTTCAGTGTTAGTGTTTCACTTCATGACAAATGGTGCTGGGATACCTCAGAAGTGCTGATTGAGAAGCTGGAAAAAGCACATTTCTGTGGTTGGTGAAATTAGAAAGTTCTTTTCAGCAAGCCTGGAGTTTCAGAGCCAGAAAACCTTTCTCTTTGCAGTAAAGATTCGTTCTTTGTAGTAGAATCAATGTCAAATAATTGTTTACTTTTCTGGGAAGATCTGAGTGCTGGACTTCTGGGTGTGTATCAGCAGACACCTTGCTGTGTCTCGGCCCGGTGAGGGGAGAGCATGTCCCAGAAGTGCTGTGGAGTGACGGTCAGATGCAACCAACACAGTGGCTGGTTTGGCTGAACTGCCGGACTTCCCCGTCCTCCCCTGGGGCCCTAGACTTAGGCCTTTCCTGTGTCTGTTCTGGGTTTGGGGTCTCTCGAGCAGTTTGGGGGTTGCCTTCTGCTGCTGTTGGTCACACAGGATTGGTATACCTTGTTTTCATTTCCATTTTAAGTTCTTGTCATTTTGTTTGGGTAGTCTGCATTACATTAATCCTTTGGTTAGCTTGCAGAATTTTCTGAAAGATTTGTTGATGGAAATTAAGCTGAGTCAGTGCTAACTTGACCTATTCACTTAATTTTGTGTTTCTTACTCCTCTGTTTTCTTGTACCAGAATGGCTTCAGCTCTGTGCAGGCCACGCAGTTACAGACCACGCAATCTGTTGAAGGTGAGTGTTCTCCAGGCCTTTTCCTCTATGTTGTAGTGTTTTTTCTCCCCTCTCAGTACTTTTTGCTTTCCTTAGATTATAGTGAGAAGAGTCATGGCTCTTCTGGTTATAGTCTTCATTTGGTTCTGCCTTGCTATTTAATATCAAACAAACCTAAGTTTTCAGTTTCTGTGTTTTAGAACAGGATAATACCCTTGGTTCCTTTTGTTGGATAAATGAGATCAGTGCTCTGAAATGCTTGGAATTTAAAAAAGAGAGGAAGGGAGGGAGAGAGGGGCTACCTAAACACACATGGTCCATTATTAAATAACTCAGCACTCTCGGCTTGGGGACAGCCTGGGACTCCCATGACTAGGGGTCATTTCTGTACTTCTCATAGACACTTCCTTTCCCCTGATGAGGTCAATTATTTATTCTTTATTTCCAGGTGCTACAGGCGCTGCTGTGAAATCTGA